TAAAGATACTGCTATACAAATACACTTTCCAGATCGATTCTTATACAGACACAACGTCGTTCGATTTGATAACTTGCATAAAAATCGATTTTTGGAAATATTAAGCAAACATGTATGTTTATAAATTCTGTTCTGTTTTGTGTTATTATTATATACATGTTTTGTGAGCATGAATAAGTTATATACCTTCAAATAGGTAAAGAAATAATAATAAGACTTACATCACAATCAATTTAATTTAACAATCTGACGACCGGTTTCGCTTTCTATAATTTGCAAAGCATCTTCAGGTCGAGATACAAAGTTAAACTAATGCTGCAATAAAATAAACCCAATTAGGGTGGTGTCTCATAAAGATAAAATAAACAAATAAATAAATTAGTTCATACAAATTATAGTAATTATGCCAATATTACATGTCTGTGGTTTTCAAAATGAATAATTTGAATATATAAAAGGTATTAACAGACAAGGTAAGGCCCACAATTGGTATAAAGTAGCAATCTTATGTTGTAATAAATTAATAAATGAGCAAATAAATAAAACAAAACAAAACAAACATTACTTACATGCCGGTACTCTATTAATTGATGGATGGTAGGTCATGGTTGCAAAAATCATGTATTGTTGATTGGAGAACTTTAATGTGCTATTGCAGTTGTTTTGACAATAAACGGAAGTTCTTGAGGAGAACAGATTTGATCCAATGAATTAGAGATAGGTATATTGTTGTTGTTTGTCAGATGAAAGTGATGTTCTTTACTATTGTATTAATTAAATTATTACACTTATAACAGAGATATATTTTTGGAATGTGTGTTATTTATTGAGTATTTATGTATCATATCATTACATAAATACTCAATAAATAACACACATTCCAAAAATATATCTCTGTATAAGTGTAAATAATTTAAATAATACAATAGTAAAGAACATCACTTTCATCTGACAAACAACAACAATATACCTATCTCTAATTCATTGGATCAAATCTGTTCTCCTCAAGAACTTCCCGTTTATTGTCAAAACAACTGCAATAGCACATTAAAGTTCTCCAATCAACAATACATGATTTTTGCAACCATGACCTACCATCCATCAATTAATAGAGTACCGGCATGTAAGTAAATGTTTGTTTGTTTGTTTTATTTATTTGCTCATTTATTAATTTATTACAACATAAGATTGCTACTTTATACCAATTGTGGGCCTTACCTTGTCTGTTAATACCTTTTATATATTCAAATTATTCATTTTGAAAACCACAGACATGTAATATTGGCATAATTACTATAATTTGTATGAACTAATTTATTTATTTGTTTATTTTATCTTTATGAGACACCACCCTAATTGGGTTTATTTTATTGCAGCATTAGTTTAACTTTGTATCTCGACCTGAAGATGCTTTGCAAATTATAGAAAGCGAAACCGGTCGTCAGATTGTTAAATTAAATTGATTGTGAGTAAGTCTTATTATTATTTCTTTACCTATTTGATATGGACTCACACAAGCAACACATTCATGATTTTTTATATACCTTTCGCCTCAAAACCTTGGACAAAGGATCTAGGAAACGTAAATACAGGATTTACACATTTAAAAATTAAAAGATGGTAATTAGTATAACAAAGAAAATCGTGTAAAGGATTGGTATATAAAATATTTTGATTTCAGCGTATTACCATGCCTTTAAAATAACGCAATATAATGTATATTGGCCCCTTATTCAGGACTACATCAGAGCGCCTCAGTAGTGAAGCACTAGACGTGACAATCCAATATATTCCTTCAACAGAACTAAAAAAAAAGACACGGTAAAATCAAAACGAAAAAGTTCAAAAGATTTCTAGTTGTACGCCAAAAGTTCCAGATTCTTACCTATCTATCTATCTATCTAATCAGCCTTAAACGCCCACTCTTGGGCATAGGCCTCCCCTGTTAATCTCCATTGGTCTCTATTTTGGGCGATCTGCATCCAGTCCTTTCCTGCCGTTCTCTTAAGATCGTCAGTCCATCTCATCTGTGGTCTTCCTCTTTTTCTTTTCTTTTCCCATGGTCTCCAGTGTAGAATTCGCTTATTCCATCTTTCATCTTTTTGCCGGAGAGTGTGACCGGCGAAGTTCCATTTAAGTTTTGCAACCTGTCTTGATACATCGTTCACCTTTGTTTTTTCTCTGATCCATGAGTTTCTTTTCCTGTCTTTAAGACCGATACCCAGCATCTGTCTTTCCATTGCTCTTTGTGTTTTGGATATCCTGTCGATGTTCTCCTTTGTGAAAGTCCATGTTTGTGAGCCATATGTGATAACTGGTAAAATGCACTGGTTGAATACTTTCGTTCGCATATATTGAGGGAACTTTTTATTTTTTAGAATATATGATAGTTTACCAAATGAGGCCCATGCTAGTCTAGTTCTTCTTTTTATTTCTTCTGTTTGATTGTCCCTGTTCAGCTTTATTATCTGTCCTAGGTATATGTATTCTGCCACCTGCTCTAATTTATTCTGTTTGACTACTATTTCTAATTGGTCTTCTTGGTTTGTCATAGTCTTGGTTTTACTATAGTTCATCTCTAGACCTACCTCTGTCGCTTTTCTATCTAGTTCCTCAACCATCTTCTGTAACTCTTCCTTCTTATCTGTTATCAGGACTATATCGTCTGCATATCTCAAGTGGTTCAAGAGCTCTCCATTTATTCTTATTCCGTATGTATCCCATTCTAATTTTTTAAATATGTCTTCCATAGCCTGATTGAACAATTTTGGCGATATTGTGTCTCCCTGCCTGATTCCTCTTTCGAATTTTATTGGTTCTGTAGCGTGTTCGTTCGTCAATTTTATTGTGGTACTCGCATTTTTGTATATGTTTGTTATTAGGTCCGTGTACCTGTAATCAATTCTGCCGTTCTGTAGTGAGTTTTTGATGGCCCAATGTTCTATGCTGTCAAACGCCTTTCGGAAGTCTATGAATGCCATGTATAATGGGATTTGATACTCGTTCGACTTTTCAATCAGTATTTTTACTGTTAGCAGATGGTCGCTAGTACTAAAACCCTTTCTGAATCCCGCTTGTTCTCTTGCTTGGTATTCGTCAAGCTTAGTTGTTAGTCTATTTGTCATGATCTTCGTTAGTAGTTTAAATACAACACTTAGTAATGTTATAGGTCTATAGTTTTCTAAGTTCTTTCGGTCACCTTTTTTGAACATTAATAGTGTCTCCGCATCGTTCCAGCTATCGGGTATTTCTTTTGTGGTCAATATTTTGTTCATGAGGATATGTAGGACTTCTCTAGTTGTTTTCCTCCTCTCTTCAGCATCTCTGCAGTTATTCCATCTTTTCCAGGTGACTTATGGTTTTTTAATTCTTGAATTGCTTTCTTGATTTCTGTTTTACTTATTTCTGGTTGTAGGTCAGAGTTTATATTTTTATTTTTGTGTTTAATTGTTTAAGAATTTCTTGCTGTGGTTTATGTCTTGTTCTGTATAGGTGCGTATAGTATTCTTGTGTCAACTTTATTATTTGTTTCATATCATTATGGTTGTTCCTTCGCTGTTTGTCATTTCATTTATCTGAGTTTTACCGAGTCGTTGTTTTAAGCATTTCATATTTTTGTTCTGCTGGATTACTCTTTCAATCTTTGCTTCCTGCGTTTTTCTCTTGGTTTCTTTTATGTTTTTTCTAATTGTTTTATTGATTTCAGTATATTCTACTGTGTTTCTTTTGCCCTGTTCAAGTAGGCTTCTTCTTGTCTTCATCAGGTTTTCTACTTCTTCTGAGATATAATTGTCCTTTTTTGTCGTCGATTTTGCAATTCTTTCCCCGCCTGTAGCAATGTAGTTGTTAGTATTTTCAATTTATTTTCGTTTTGTTTCTTTATTTATTAAGTCGTTTATATTTGGGATGCAGTTATTTTTTTCTCTCTTTACCTAACTTCTTATAGATTTTTACGACCTAATGGCTTTCTACAATATACAAAATCAAGACAGACGATGAATGGACCCGACACTATTGTTAGATGTCGCCGTTTGCAAGTTATCTTATTATTATTTCCTTTAACGGAAAAAATTTACTTTAAGTTCAGGGTTTCTACTAAAGTCGCTCCTGACGTAGCCTGCAGGTACGAAGTATGTATAAGTGTACACCAAACATATGGAACCGATATTCTTTCACCCGATCCGATATGTGGCTGACGGTCGGGCCGACGTCGGATTAAAATTCAAACTCCCAAGGTAATAAATCAGAGAGTGCCTATAACTGCTTCATCCACGAAGCTAGATATAGGCACTATTTGATTTAAATACTTAGAGTTTGTTTCCATCCGACGTCGCCCGATATCGGATCGGGAGAAATACGGTTTCCAATGTAGGTGGACACTAAGCCACAAAAAGATAAAGCGAATATAGTAAAAAAAACATAGAAAAAAGGAAGATTCAACTAGTGGCCCAATATAGCGCGAATGAAGCTGAGATAGGTAGATATAAAGCTCACGGTTCCAATTAAACAATACTGATACAGACAATTGTTGGATTACAGTCGAATAGAGAAGCGTGAAAGACTAAAGTTTAGCTGAATCTTCTGCGTAATGAAGAATATAATGGAAGATCACGTATAAAAAATTCCATAGAATGATATACTTTCAATGTATTCTTGTATGTAACTGTAACCATTAAAAATAAGAAAAGAAAGTATTTCTCTATTATAATTGGAATAATTTTATGATAAACTTTCTCGTGATGGATTTCGCTAGATAAACCGCGCCCGACTAATACTAGTCTTTACACAATTTTTTAGTAACTATTATCCACAGAATTTGAATTTATAACATATATCTTTGCTTTTTACTAAAAACATATACAAAACTCCGTTGCCCTCCAAAATACAATGACTATATGGCGACAATATCCACAATGAAGTTTCGGCGAATGTACAATACTATGGGAATAGCTACCAATCCGCTATACATTCCTCAAATGGTACCTAGAGAAAACAATTACCTCTCTCAACTGCTGCTCCACCTGTTTTAACGTAACAGAGTACACGACTTATCCTTTGCGGCGGTGCCTATGTTTAGATTTAAAAACAAATTCATATCACATTAGAACACTGAAACATCAATCATCGTTACATGCTAAAATTCAAGTAAACGAAAAACAAAAACAATATGCGCATTGTTAAGTAGAGCTTTGTTAAAGCACTCCATCTGTACCTCCTTTAGACGGGTGGTCAGGTTCTTAATTTGGTTTTTGTATTCTCTTCGCTGTTGTGAATTGGCCCTAAGTAAGAATTTTAGGAAAAACTTATTACAATGACAACGACCACTAAAAATCAACTGTTTTAAATCATTGCAGTTTACAAAATAATATAATAAGGTTAGAATATAAAAACGTACTTACACCTTAGTTAAAAATGAAAAATATATGTAACTAACAATTTATACGAGATACGCTGCTGGCCCTACCTTTTTTTGCTTTTTGTATAATATTCACGAGTTTTTCGTAATGTTTCTGACATTTTTTTTATATTTGGCAATAAACAATGCTATCGACGTGAAGTATTATTTTTTGAAATTGTATATTTGTAAGCTGATAAAAAAAAAAAGAAGCCATCTGGAATATTTTTCATTTCGGTCACACTATGAAGACTCCTTTGAAAAAATGAACTTATACCCTCATCCATACAGGGAAAGAGCAGTACTTACAACATAACAAAATTTAGAAACTGAATGTCATACTCAAAGCCAAAATTAGGAAATAAAGTACCCTAGGTAAAAAGATATCTAAATCAATTTGATACATTGGTAACGGACAAGGACTAAAAGAAGCTAACTGGAAAAAAGTGGCTTTAGTTCATGTACACAATTTACTCAAAAAAAAAAAAACACGTTTTAAATGAAGAAACAATAACTCTGATATGGGCCGCACATTAACGCGAAAATCCTCCGAAACAAAATGGAATCGAAATGAGAAAATGAAATCTCATTTAATACAGAAACAGGAACTGAACTGAAACACCTAATCTGAAAGTAACATAATCATATAAATACGAAAAATACAAACGGCTCTTCACAAAATAACGCTATCGATCGATTTTTTAATCTCTTTTTTAGGGAGCATTAAGTTGCATAAGAATAACTGAACTATTTATACCATAACTGCACCTCAACTGTACAATAAAATAAGCAATAACCGTACTTTTATTACTTACTAATAAGTCAACTTTTCATATATTGCTGCAAACTATAAACTTATAATTTGAAATTGGAAAAAATCGCTGAAAGTGTTCTGTGATTCATAATTATTAGAAATAAATGATTTTTTTATTATCAAGTAATTTATGACATAAACGTGACAATGAAACAGTGGCGTCAAAGTCTGTTATCTGAATATCTGGCATAACTAACTGAATCGTATTCTAAACAAATATCTTACTTGATTATTATGTACAATCTCTTTATTAAGGAGCAACATGGATTTAGGCAGATAAATCTACATACTACAAATCTTTGTTTTGGTATCATGATTACTCTTCTTAACGTGCCCTATCAAGTCCCCTTGACGTTGGCGATTAACATGGCGAAAACTGTCTCTGTCTCGAGCTATTCTAAATAGTTTGCTCAGCATATCTTTATTCCTGTCCACTCCCTGATATTCTTCAACCAAGAGGCCTGCTTTCTACCAATTCCTCTGCGTCCTTTCGATATTTACCCATCATAATAAGTTTAAATAACTATCATAATAAGAATATTATATGGTTTCCCCTTACTACGTGTCCAAAATAGGCCATCTTCTACATTTGATATTATCAAGCACTCGCGAGCAGCATTTGCTCTCTCAAGGTCTGCCACATTTGTCAGCATAGCCGTCCATGAAATTTTTAGTATAACGTCTGTTCAGCCACATCTCAAATGCCACCAAACGATTAATGGTGGATATTTTTAATGTTCCATGCTTCTACACCGTATAAGAGGACTGACCAAATGTAGCATTTAACCATGCTTTCGAAGTTGAAGTTGCAAGTTAATCATTACAGAAGAATGACTTCATTTTTAAAAATGCCGTCGGGCTATCTCGATTCTACATTTTATCTCTTGATCTGGATCTAGTTGTTCAGTAATATGGCAACCAAGATATTTAAAACTGGACACTTTTTGAATTATATGACCATCAAAATATAATCTTGATATGCTAAACGCCATGTTTTTTGTTTTTGCACAGTTTATTTTAGGCCAAACTCTCGTCCCACTGTATCAATGGCATTTAAAAGGCATTGTAATCCATTCATGTCATCACTTAAAATAACTGTATCGTCTGCATATCTGATTGTATTTATCAGAATTCCATTAACTTTCACGCCCCATTCGAAATTATGCAGCGCTTCTTGAAATATTCTATCATGATTACATTATCAGGAATTTCGAGGATGGGTACCAAGTGGACTCCATCTATACTGATTTCTCGAAGGCCTTTGACACAGTAATCCATTCTTTACTCATCTTTAAATTAAGATGTATTGGCTTTCCTGAGTGGTTTCTTTTCATGGTTAAGTAGTTATCTTGATGAAAGAATTCAGTTTGTTTTTATAAAGTGTTCACTTTCAATTCCTATCTTGATCAGTTCAGGGTCCCACAAGGTTCACATGTGGGTCCTCTTCTCTTTAATTTGTTTATTAATGATATTTCTGAGGTAATAAAGGTTTGTCAGTTTTTGCTATTTGCTGATGACCTTAAGTTATATTTTAAAGTTTCAAATCTATCTGATTGTCTAAGGATCCAGGAAGACCTTACTTCCCTGTATAATTGGTCTCTTTCCAATGGTCTCCAGTTAAATAAATATAAGTGTTTTGTTATATCCTTTAGCAAATCTAAAAATAATGTTGTGTTTGACTATCACATTAATACAAGCCTTCTATCAAGAGTGACTAAAATAAAAGATTTGGGAGTGTTATTTGACAGTTCCTTGTCATTTATCCCCCACATCAACAATTTGTCAAATAAAGTTTACCGAAATCTAGGTTTTATCACAAGAAACTCTCGAGATCTTTCAGTACCCACATATAGAATTTTATATCTTACTTTCGTCCGTAGCATCCTGTCTTATGCTTCTATAGTATGGTCACCATACTATTTTAACCATATTCACACCCTTGAAAAAATTCAAAATAAGTTTCTCCGGATTTGTGCTTATAGATTAAACTTAAGGAACATGTCTTCGGTAGAACTAAGGTCAAGGCTAAATATCAGTTCCTTAGAAGACTACAGAACTAAATGTGATCTAGTTTTTCTCCATAAACTACGTGACCATACCACTGACTGTTCTGATTTATTAAGTCTTATCAACTTTAGATGTAACACTAGAATTCTAGAGACATGCCTTTGTTTTCTATAAAACACTATCACACTAATTATGGCAAATTCTCTCCTATTAACAGGATTCAGATCCTGGGAAATGACTTTAGCCAATCTCATGATCTGGTGGATATAAAATCTGTAAGATTTAAGCACTGTTTGACTGAGTATGTTAGGAATCAAAGATGAGTGACATTTAACTTGGAGTATTCATTTCATTTCATTTATTAAGATCATTTCATTTTATTTTATTAAGATCATTTATTTTATTAAATTTCAGGAAATTTAATTTAATTTACTTAATTTAATCATTTGTTTAACAATAATTATTTAATTATTATTTAATACTTAGTTTTAGTATGTACTTGTATTATGGTTAGAAATATTTATTGTAAAAATTGGGACATCCCGTAAAAATAAATAAACAAATAAGTAACAAAGACGACATCACAGATGCGATTCCACTGAAGAAATACCTCCCAGGCTCTGATCGTTTAACCGCTTGGAGGAGACCCGTATATTTACTACCACAAAATAATTGTTGATCCAAGTAAAACCAATATTATACATTATATACCATAAATTCAGATAATTTGGTTCACTTCTACCGTTTCAATAGCTCCTATTATAGTGTGTATATCCAAATTTAGATAGGAGAAGTTATTGTAGAAATTTGACTTAATCAGTTGACACGTTTTGATCGTAACACTTTCAAAAGACAATAAGGATTAACAGCATTAGTGTTTATCAAACGGTCATTAAAATCGCATAATCATTAAAAATGTAAAACGTTTTACATACCAACCAAATAATGAAATTATTTAACATTAGATTTATAGGAAACACCAGATAAATGTATCAATAAACTATAAAAAATAACAAAAATAAACAGTTTCAGGAGGTGTATTTAGTTTTATACAAAAAAAAAAATGGTTCAGTAGGCAGTACTGTAGACTGGCGCGAAACTTCATAGTGTTTTCTGTATTTTTAAAACTGAATAAAGAAATTTTATTATGTATTATAATAGTTTTTTATTTTTAGATTTTTTTATAGAACTTAAATAAAACTGAAAAAGTTTTCCGTTATATCATGGACTCCTCCTCCCTTATTCGGAAAATGGACTCTTATCCAACAGTTATACTGGTGACTGCGGACCACAAACAGCTCTATCCAAGTTACATGGTCGCTACCTTTATCCGTAATGCTAAGCCTCAGCAATTTATTATAAGAAAAACTAATCACAACGCCAGAATCGAAGCTTCACGTATATGATTCTGTAGTAAAATAAAGCACGCAATATTATGGCTTAAATTGCTAAAGACCCGTCCTTCAGGAGAATTCACTCAGAAGCCTCCAATGTAGAATCACGTAATTTCAACCAGAAAAAATTCCACAAGAAGCAGAAGTGCAATTTTTGAACCTTAAAAGTTGAGAGGAATATTCATATCAGGTTTGTGAGAAATTAACAGAGGTTTTAAACAACGGCCAGTTTGATCAATCTAACAGGAACTACTATAACCCAAGGAAGGTAATAAGCCATAATGATTTGTTCCGGTGTAGAGTGGGTTACATGGTCCTGGAGGACAGCTTTAGTGTTTTATACAGTAATTTTAAATGTTAAGTTATTCAACAACTTGGTAATTTGGGGCAAATACGGCAAGGAAGTAAAACGAGGATTCTGTGTGTAAGTTTGTTATCATAAACACACCAACGCTATATTTCAGCACAATATAACTTAAACCTACATGTTTATAACTTGGTTGGTTAGAATTAAGACCTAACCTTAAAAATCAGAGTGACATATTTTAAACAAATCTTTCAGAAATGGATCATACTATGGATGATATCTCAGTTGATATATCGATTCATAACAAGGATACATTTACTGATCAAACTAAGTTTTATAAGAAAAACTATAAATTTAAAGTTTTGCCATTTTAACAAAAGTTATAAATGAAAAAATATACCAAAAATAGTGGTAGTGACCGACTGAGGTAATTTAAACGTTTCTTAAATACAAAACACTTCGTTTGAAAGTTAAAAAAAAAAATTGACTAGCTTAACCATCTAAAAAGTTTTTCTCTTAACAGAAAACCTCTTTTTGAGTTCTGAATACACCTCCCGATAAAATAATCTCTAAATGACATTATTAAATAAATTTTTCTTACCTTCTCTTCTGATACTTCAAGGGATTTTAAGTTGTTGCCTACTACGCGAAGTTCTTCCTCAAGTTCTACAATTTTGCTGTAAAAAAACAAAAATCAACCTTAGTTACAAGTTATAAAAGAACCCTTAAGAGATCAACAGCTGCTATAATCATATAAAAGATGATACTGAAAATTTGTGCCGCAAAATGAAATATTTTTGAACCGTTTGAAAGCGGTCCTGTGCTTTAGCGAAGTCGAGAATTCTCTTTTCACTTCCGGAAATATACCACATAACGTTTCTATCGATGCGGGAATGTTCTCATTGCCCGGTTAGGTCCCAGACCATTTGTTTTCCGTTTATATAAGCCCGCCTGAGGAGCCTCTGAAATTTTAAATTTATGACAACCGTGGGACACACTCACCTTCTTCCTCTACTCCTATCCACCTCTTAACATTCCCTGTATTATCGTTATTAGCAGTTCAAATCGGTGACCATCCGGGCTCAATTTTCAATATAAAAAACTTGAAAAAAAAACAGGTAGGCCTATTTAGTATTCTAAAAGATACAAATCCATGAATTTTTTTTAGATTTTTAAAAGTAAAATTGCGTTCCAGAAAAAAAAAGAAATCGAAAAAAGCATCTTTTTATAGAATTACTGTGGCCTTTAGGAAGCTATCGATGTTGGGGGGCACAACTTTTGACCATCTTATCCCGCTATAGCCTTTGCTTGTATTTTTAAAATATTTTAATAAATTCAGTATTTTTTGTCGATTTATTGCATCATATGCTTTTTTGAAATCTATGAAGACAGTGTGGATAGAAATATTATACTTCTCTCCGTTTCATCATCAGTTGGCGCTACAGCCCTTCGTGAGCCTTGGCCTGCTTCAAAACATTCTTCCATCCTTCCCTATCGAGTGTCTGTCTTCTCCAGCCCCACCTCACTCCAATTTCCCTCAGATCTTCCTGTAACATCGTCCAGATATCTGAGTTTAGGTCGCCCCCCTTCTTCTTCTTCCGACCGGCCTGTTTAGCATAGTTATTTTAGTGGATCACTCTCATCCATCCGCATAACGTGGCCCACCCACCTTAGGCGGTTTATTTTGATGGTCTTCACAATATCTGCATCACCAAAAAGTCTATAGAGTTCAAAGTTATATCGCCTTCTCCACAGACCCTGTTCGTTTACTCCGCCATATATGGTCCTCAATACTTTTCTTTCAAAGACTCGTAGTAACTCTTCATCTCGGGTCGTCATTGCCCATGTTTCCGATCCGTATTGAGCACTGGACGTATTATTGTTTTATAAAGTTTGCACTTTGTTGCTATTGACATACTTCGCGCTCTATTAGGCCAGCAAAATAACAGCGGTTAGCCACGCATATTCTTTTTTTTATCTCTTTGATGTGTTATTTTGTAGTCTAACCAGTGATCCTAAGTAGCAGAATCTTCTACCATTTCTATCGTTTCGTGTTGCACCTCTAAGTTATTTTGTTGAATTCTTGATATGGCCGGCATATATTTAGTTTTCTGGATGTTAATCAGAAGTCCGATGTTTTCTGCGGCATTTTTGATACGTTAAAGCCTCCACTGCTTCATTTGGGTTCTTCCAATTATGACGATATCATCAGCGTAATGCCATTATTTGTATACTACGGGTATATATCGTACCTTTTAAGTTTATTCCCGAATCTCTCATAACTTTTTCTAACGCTAGGTTGAACAGCGTGCACGATAGCGCATCTCCCTGCGCAGTCCTCTGTTGGTTTTAAATGTTTGAAACATCCCCTTGTACGCGCACTTTTACATTCGACTTTCATCATTGTCATTTAATTAATTCTACCAAACCTTTTGGGTATTCCTAATTCGATCATCGCCGAATATAATTGGGACCTGTCAATAGTATCGTACGCTGCCTTAAAGTCTACGAAGATGTAATGGCAGTCTATGTCGTACTCCGTCGTTTTTTTCTAATATTTGTCTGAATGTATAGATATTGATCAATGGTAATTTGTTTTTCAAGAAGCCTCTTCTGATAGAGATCCTATAAATTTCAGTATAACCGTGCCCTCGTAATCGAAAGTATCACCTTTCGCCCACAGCAAAACTATCACATAAGTTGTTATTAGTTGTGTGTAACGCCTCCAATTTTGCTTACTCTTAGCTAATATTTTGTATACCGTATCTAGCAAGGCTACTCCCCTACAGTTTGAGCAGTCTTGCCTATTTCCATTTCTTGTATACCGTATTAGAGTGATCTGTTCCAGTATGTAGACATTTCTTGCTTCTTCCATATAAAAAGCTCTGGATTTATTCCACTTTCTTCCGGACTCTTACTGTTTTTTAAATGTTTTAACCTGTGATACTAAACAAACGACAGATAACATAGAACAACTGACAAGTACCATCAAGATGGACATTAGTTAGGAAAGACACTTTCGCGAATACAGCTAGATGGTTTGAAACACTTATCCCAATTTCCTAGGAAAATGTCGCTTAAACAATAATTTTTTAATAAGAGCCACTTGTTACTAAAACAAATTTATTATGTTTTATATTCATTTTAAATAAATATCCTCTGGTGTGTTATAATAACTGATAACAGCTGTTGATCTTTACCGACTAATTAACCGCAAAATGGATAATATAAAAACGAGCAAATCCAATCTAAAAATAAATATTACATTACAAGCAGTAGTGAGTTGCAAACACTCATAGATAACAGTGTGTCATACTCAATATTTTGTAATTTAACTCGGTCCTTATATAGACATAAGTCGAATACTTCGCAGAGATAGATTATACGTGTAGTTATAAAATTTACTGAATATTCAGTAAGTCATTATAAGGGAATCTAAAGAAGAGCAAATTTGTCTGAATTGAGACTGTGAGATTTAAAGTGTTAGCTAAATCGAAGATTTGAAAAGTATAATGAGAAATTCTAAATACCAATAAAACAATACGCGAATAAGAGTTGAAATAAAATAATGAAATGTCCTGTAAATTAATCTTAATCAGAGTTGACAAGAGGTTTGTATTTTTAGTTTTGCATATAGCCGCAGAGGGCGCCACTAACAAAACTTCCGACACAAATGTAACTTCAATCTTTTGTTGAACATAAATCGAGAGTTTCATTGCAATACAAGTATTATAGATACAGTAAATTTATGAAATTAGAGAACCCTCGTGTACTGTATATAATGTATTTCTAATAAAGTGCTCAGGACAGAAAAAATGTTGACCAACACCCTCAACACATGTCGGATTTAGACTTAACTTAAGTTTCTCGTACTAAAGGAATAGACTCAAGAGGGATTTCAAGGGAAAAGTTATGGACTGTCATCGTATATTTGACACCATTAGGCATAAGACACTGCTTCACAAAACCTACAAAACACTTAGTAAATTACCGTTTAGAATTCGTTCCTACAGCACAACCATATTTTCCTTATGTCCGAAAGTAAAATGAGTAAATGAACACACCAAAGATTCCATCACACCGATGATCTTGAAATATGCGTCGAAGAAAAACATTTGAAGTAGAAAATAATTTCCAAATTACCTAAACAAAATAACTGCGTTATTATCAACAGAATTACCTAAGATTCAACCCTTCCAAAACTCACTCCACACAGAAGACGAAAAAAAGGGCAAATGTGGAATAATAATACTTTGGAACACACTTAGCAATCACAATATGCGTGAGTGTTTATTATTTTAGTGCGCTAAGCACATCGGCACAAGCACTCTTCTTCAATAGAAGAATAAGCTTACCACGTCTGTAATAAATCTGTTGACACCAAATAAGTATAAGTGGTCCCCACCTCTACTTATTTGGTGTTTTAGGTGGTGGTGGGACCCAACAGAATACCAGTGATTACGGAATACTGGAATAACGTGTTTTATAATATCAATCAATAATTAATCACAAACCATCGAAAACTGACTACTTTCCATAATCGAATAACATGGCAATACGAAAACAGCTTTAAAGCCTGCACTACAAGAAGGAAGAAGAAAAATTACCTGTTTAAAGGAATATGTGGATAGAAAGAACAGTCCCCACGTCATAAAGTTTTATCGAAATAATTAACCATATGTACATTTAACAAAGTTTATAATGTAGAGAACCTTAATTTTTTGGGAGACAACACCACTGTTTGTAATATAATTAAATTTATATAAAAGAACTGAAATAGCAAAGCCTTAACTGTTTCGCTCTGGTACGGCTCGATCTTTTCTACTGGCCCGTTGCGAGAACCTGTATCCAATCAGTACCAGCTTTCGGGCGGCCTGTCAACATTATTGCAATCATGCAGCAAGCAAATAACGACAAAAAACTAGTTAGTATTAAAATAAAACGTATCAATTATAGCAACACATAAATCGTTTCCTAGAAAATAACTTTATATATCCGAAAACAACAAAACCACAGTTATTTTTATTGTAAATGTTAAAATTGAAATGCATTGAACATTATAACAACCAGAAAAACAAACATCACATTCAACGTTAGAATAATAGAGTTACGGTATTTAAACCCAAAAGAAACATAGAAAACGATCTTAAAATATAAAGACTAACAAATTATTGAAGCGAAATGAAAGTTCAAGAATATTGGATAAGAAAATTTTCATTATAAGTTAACACTAAGTACCATACAAAACGGAACACCTGGATTCAAACAGTTTTTCCCTGTTATTATTAATGGTATATAAATAGGCCGTTTCAATCCAGTTTTGTGTTTCCGATAAGCGAGAGGGCGTTGATAATAAACCCTAAAATTTAATCTTCATAATGAACGTATGTGAAGTTGAAAATTGCATTTCAATTCTGGTCAAATACATTCTTAGTTAAGTTATCCCGACCATGTCACAGTATTTGTTTACTGTGGAAATGCAGTGGCAAGTGATTGAATATTTATTTTAGTGAAGGTTTAACAACAAAGGAAATTAATGAACGTAAAGTTTGAAAGAGTGAAACAAGCACTCTACTCATTAAATTAGAACAGGAGAAAGATGGGATTGCTAAATTTAAACGTGTTCATACAAGCCCAAGACTACAATCCACGTTAAGGCGTCCAAACACAGACAAAAACACCAGAAATCGTGGAAAAAACATGGCAGATATCGTATTGGGAAAAATCGTTCAAGTGACTGGAAATGAAATTTGGTTAAAGAGCCCTAGGCATCTCATTGGACAGTGTAAGCAAAATTTTGACTGACTATATTGGGTTTAAGAATGCTATAGGTCACAATGGGACCTTCATATCGCTAATAATGGGAACAAAACCATATTCGTAATAACGACCTTTCTCAGTATACCTCGTGAATCTTGTGCGTCGATTCATCATTGTGGATTGAGGACTTGGCTCTATCACTCATGTTCCTGATAATCAAAACAAGAGTCAAAAGAGTGCTGTGAACCTGGTTTATTCGGCTATGGAACGAGTTCGAATCCAGAAATACGGACAAGAAGGTGAATTTGGGATGCGAAAATAATTTCGTTTGTGCATAACTTGCAAGCTGGTAAAACAGTAAATTATGAATATTCTTGTAACCTTTTAGACAAAACCTTAAGGAAAAAAATTCGTGAAAAAGATAGCAACTTCCATCATCTGATTTTCGATAACCTAAAAAAAATCATACGTGTAACAGTCGTTTTATATCAAGCGAAGAGGTCAAAAAAGATATGAAGCGTAATTTTTGCAGCTCTTCGAGATTCTCAGCTCATTGAACAACTTATTGAACCGCCAATTATATGGTATACCGAAATGAAAACAAACACTTCCTAAAGTGTCCTATGCTTCTAAGAATAATCTTATCTATATCAAGAAGATAAACTGCCAAGTAAGTGGTAAATAAAGTTTATTTTAGAAATGACTTTCTAAAACTATCGATACGAGTGTATCAGGAATAATTTGAATTAAAAGTTACTTACGATATTAAACAAAATAAATCTATGTTGCATATTAACTTTCTAAATATATATAATCACAGTTAAATTTTAAAAATCTTAAATTAGTTATTGAACAAAAAGAATAAAAATTTCAGCTTGCATCAAATGGCCTCTCTGGAAACGGAAATACAAATAAAGCCATTCCTGAAATATGCAAAATCAAAAATTAAAAAAAAAAGTGCCACAATAACACGAACACTCCATATAAAAACGAAACCTACGATTCACCGGCTTCTCGGCACGTTCTTCAGCACGTTCCAAGTCAGCTTCAACCATGGCCAATTTACGGGCTACCTAGAGAACCAAAAGAAACCTTTCAAAAATCTTGTTTGACTGTACATTTAGCGTCTAACATACTCCGAAACACGTCTAGCCATGCAAACAATTTTGTCTTTTGGTAAGTAATCTAAGTAGAACAAAACGATACTATTTGGAAAAACTCGAGATTATAATGAATCTCGGTGCAAATCTAAATGCGGTGATGTCACTGACTGGTCAATTATTTAAAACTTGAGTACCCTCAATACATTTTAACGACCACAAAAATTGCTCTGCAACGCCAGCGCGGTCCTAATTTGACAGATGTTGCAAATTTTGAACGGCCAATTGAAACGAGACATACCCGAACATTACAGGTCTAGATATAGGTAACTCTGAACGCAGCGCACTGGGGGGGGGGGTGTGGGTCGTAAACCGGTAATTTTTTCGAACTTATAGCAGAAGTGACATTGGCGGTGAAACGGAAAAGTATTACAACTCCCTCCTCTAAGAACAGGCCAATGAGTATAAGTGTGAAAAAAAAAAAGATATCTGTGACACCCCCGTATGAATAAAATAAGAAGGTTGGTATGTACTATAGTGATGTAACGAATGTCCATTTTTTAGAACATTACGCGAATGCGAATATATGCCAACCGTACATTCGCGAATGCGAATATACAGTTACGTTTATTTTAATTTTGCAAATTTAATTGTCTCCGGGCACTGCCGGCAGTCCTCATTTGCGCGAGGTGCTTAAGGCAATTGGATAAAAGTCACGTCAATTTTAACAGCTTAAAATTGTCCAGTATCATTCTAACAAATATTGTCTAAAGTAAAGGATGTGAAACAGATTGTATTTATTGTAAAGAAGTTTATTGTAGGCGGTTAAGTTTATTGAGGGGTCGTTTAAAAAGGTATTTATTTATAGTCACGTCCGGGCCAAAAACGTAGAAAGCACGTTTTTCGATCTTATTTTCTCTTGTTATAATCAAATTTGACTTGTTATAGAGAGAAAGTTATAGCAGAGAACTAAGTTCTCTGGTTATAGTTCCAATAAAAATTTCACGGGACACAAGTCACTCCACTTGCCCTGCTCTGCTCGTGCACAAATACAAGTGAATTTTTAGTTAAAGTGTGATTAGCGATTTATTACTATGAGTAAATCAAATTATAGTGAAATATGGACTTATTTTTCACCACTTTTCGATACTGAACGAGCTAAATGCAAGCTGTGTAATATTCGCAAAACATTCGCACAAATTTGTGCGAATGCGAATGCAAATGCGAATATGCAAAAATATGCGAATATTCGCGAATGCGAATATTCGTTACATTACAAGTATGTTATATTAAGATCGAACCAGCGATTTAAAAAAAAATATATTTTCGAACGATGTCAAATGTACAATCTTACTGAAGATAATAGGATAATATGCGTAATTTTAAAATAGGACCACATATAATCATGTCGTTAACAGATTATATTGTATTGCACGGGCACAATAAAAAACTGTAGTAACACCATGATCCATATGTTGGACCAATTTAAAAATACGCATATTATCCCTATATCTCAGAAATTGTACATTTGGCAACGTCGAAAATATAAAATTTTAAATCGCTGGTCCAACATTTTGTTACTATATCATACAGATTGAAATTCAAAAAGCTAGAGAATTCTGCAACATATGTGGTGCAGTTCGTGACAAATCTGGGAAAAATCAAATTTTCTTGTATTATCAGTATGATGAAATAAGAATAAGAACTGAAAGCTAAGGAACAAAAACTTGTTATAATGGTTAATGGAAGTGGTAAAAATAAAAACGTTAAGGGTCTATAATAATCATCGTTCAGTTTCGATAGGCGCTAAACTACGCTAAAAAAATTTGAACATAGAAAAAAACAAAGAGCATATAGTCACATTAAGTATTCGTCCCAATCTGCTGCTTCCAAATATCGATATATTTTAATGAATAATTTTTTACCGAAGTTAATTCAGATTTGTATCGATATTGGAGACGCTTATTTGACCGACTCCACTTTTTCTTAGATAGTTTGTATTCCTGACATTGAATACGAGTGAATTCATCTTACGATTATAAATGTGAAGTGAAATTGAACATTTCTTCCTTTCTGACCAACGGAAAAATATTGAATCTGCATATAGTGTAGGACGTGAACATAATCGAGAACAGATTTAAATTCATCGAATGGGAATCAGTCCTTTTGATCAATGATGCCGTTAACTATAGATTTTTTAAGGTAGGTGTAATCTTTTCTTAAGATTACACCTGCCCTCTCCATTACTGAAGGTTGACTATAGCTACAGTAAATTGCTCTCTACCTTGATAATCAGTAATTTTTTTACTGTAAAGTGAGACTGGTAGAAACTTTTGGGAAGTTCTGATTTTTTTTTTATTATATCTTTGTTTTTGGGTGCCTAAAATCTGAATCTGAGCTTTGCAGACAAAACATTTCGTGACGCCAAACCAAATTTAAAAGAAACCCAGGAAGTAAATCGTTTATTTTTTTTTTGCTATTAATACCGAGTTTATTACATAAATCAATCAAAACTGTTTAAACTATTAAGTAAAAGGTCTGTATTACAAGAAATAAAAGTTACTTAAAGTTGTGTACAAATGTCACTATTTGGATATTGTACATGATCGAACCAGTTCGTCTCAAGTGCAAGTTAGAAAATTGGCAATTTGTACCGGTGACTGCAAAACTCACTTTAGATTTGTTATTGAAAGGTTTTACAGTGTAATTTCCCCTAGTATTTAAGTAATTTAAAATAAAGACCGAGTCACACGGATAATTCACGTTTTGACTCAAATATTATAGCTAGATATAGCAAAAAATCAAAATCACTCAGTTAAAAAGCATTAAAGTCCGCGGTACATTCCAAACGGCAACAATGACTAAACTGTAGTAACGTTTGTAGTATGCGTGTACGTGTATCGCATTGAATACTAATCTGCATTGTTTAATCAAGTTAAAATGAAAGTTTCCCTAGAGTCCAGCAGAATAACAAAAGAGTTTGCAATCGGGTAATTGAAGAAGCATTCAAAGTG